AAATAGCCATGCACCTGTAACTGGGTGTATATACATTTATTATAGCCACAGCTTCCTGTTGAATGGATCCCTTAATATTTACACAGGGCCCTTCTTTGTCTCTCTTAACAGTTTTTGTGGAAAAGCCTATTTTGTATGATATTAGGATTGGCAACACCTGCCCTTTTTTGGTTTACATTAGCATGGAATATATTTTTTCCATCCTTTCATTTTCAATCTGCATTTATCTTTGTGGGTGAGATGTGTTTCTTGTAGACAGCAAATATATTGGTCTTGTATTTTAATCCATTCAGTCAGTCTGTATCTTTAAATGGAGAGCTGAGGCTATTTACATTCAAGGTTACTATTGGTAAGTAACAACTAGCCCTGCCATTTTTCCATAAACATTCCTACTTTGGATTTCTTTTGTATTTTTACTGGGGGACTTTCTGCCTTTAAATTCTTTTGTAATAATGGATATCTTTCTGTGTTTCTATGGGTAGCACATGTAGCACATCCTCAAGCATCTTTTGTAAGGCTTGATGGGTGGTGACAAATTCTTTCTGTTTGTTATAGAAGGACTTTATTTCACCTTCATTCATAAATGCAAATGAGTGCCTTCCAGGATACAGTATTCTGGCTTGACAGTTGTTTTCTCTTAAGAATTATACTGTATCTTACCATGCTCTTCTAGGGTGTAGGGTTTCTGATGAGAAGTCATCTGTGAGTCTAACTGGAAATCCTCTGCAAGTAATCTGGCATTTGTCTCATGCACATTTTAGAATCTTTTTTTGTTTGTTTTACTGTGGCAAGTTTGACTACAATGTGTCGTGGTGAAGTTCTTTTCTGTTCATGTCTGTAAGGAGTTCTCTTCCTCTACTTGGACATTCTTTTCTATCTCCAAATTGGGGAAGTTTTCTGTAATTATTTCACTAAATAGGCCTTCTGGTCCATTCTCTTTTTCCACACTTTCAGGAACTCCGAAAACCCATAAGTTGGGTCGTTTGATAGTATCCCATAAATCTCCAACACTGATTTTAAGGTTTCTAATTTCTTCTTCTTTTTTTTTTTTCATCTTCTAGTTCAGATATTATTTCTTCTGCCTACAAAGTTTTCCGTTATGACTTTCTACCACATTTTCATTTGATCTATTGAATTCTTCATTTATAATATTTCATTTTGATTTATCTTTAAAATCTCAGTTTAATGGGAAAAGTTTTCATTCATGTCTTGTATGTTTTTTTTTTTAAGTTGGTGGATTTGCTTCTGATTGCTTTTGAGTAATCCTATGATTAATTTTTGAATTCCATTTCTGGCATTTCCTCAGTCTCTTCATCTTCACATTCTAATGTAGAAATGTTGTTGTGTTCCTTTGGAGGGTCATGCTGTCCTCCTGATATTTGTTTCTTGAATTTCTGCATTTATTTTTACGTATTTGTAGAGTTGATGTTTTTTCCTCTAATGGCTTTTGTCTTTGAACTATTCCTCTGTGGCTTAGTGGAATGTCTGTATTTTCAGTGAATACCAAGAGGTGTGTGGTGGGTGTGGTCAGGGAGCTCTGGTCAGTACATATGTAAGTAAGTATATAAGTATCCAGGGTAACACCCTAGTTGGGCGTGGTAGATCTCCTCCTGTTTATAGAAGGTTAGGAGTGGTCAACTCTGTTGGTGTGATCTCTCCCTCACCTCCTCTCCTTCAAACTGAGCAATACCTGGGTGTTAGATCCCAGTGTGTTGAACACTCATCTGTGCACCGTATGAACCATACAAATGATCTGTGAGCACAGTACCTGCTGTAATGTCCTGCTCCAGGAACCCCAGGAGCTCTGAACATGATTGCCCAGAGACCCAGCTGCACTCTGCACCTTGTCATGTAACCAGGGAGTCTCCTGGAGCCAGCTCTGCCTAGGCATCTTGATCCTGGGAGGCTGGGTATGTCTTACCATTCTACGTGGGTGCCTAGCCAGGCTGAAAGTCAGTGGGGACTGCAAACTTTTCCCTCTGTTAGAGTCTCTCTCTCTTTTTTAAAGCATCAGATTAATTTTATTTAAATGAGAAAAGATACAAAATGCTTTTATGAAGGCACATTGCAGATCTTGTTGACATATTATTATCATTTTTAAGACAAAACTCTGCTATTTCATAGCTGTGTGATTTGGGGGATCTGATGCTTAATCTTTGCAAACCTCAGTTACATCTCCAACATAGCATCATTGTGACTTTAAAAATAGTTAATAATACATGTGAAGAGCACAGAGTAATTTCTGGAGTGTGAGAGGTGAATAACAGAAGTTGAGCCCCTCAACACCAATCTGAACATGATAGCCCATACAAGTATTTATTTTTTCACACCCCCAGGTTTGATTTAGAGCCATCTGATAGAAATATAATGAGACCTGGAGTCGGTGCTGTGGCATAGCAGGTCAGGCCCCTGTCTGCAGTACTGGGGCATCCCATAAGGGCACTGGCTCAAATCCCAGCTGCCCTACCTCTGATCCAGCTCTCTGCCATGGCCTGGGAAAGCAGTAGAAGATGCACAAAACCTTGGGCCCCTGCACCCACGTAGGAGACCTGGAAGAAGCTCCCGGCTCCCGACTTTGGATCAGCGCAGCTCTGGTGGTTGCAGTCGTTTGGGGAGTGAACCAGCAGATGGAAGAACTCTTTTTTTTTCTTTTTTGATTCAGTATATATTAAGTAAAGATTTAATCAGTTTGCACCCACACAGAAACACAAAGTGTGAAAATACTGTTTCAGTACTAGTTATAGCATTACTTCACATTGGACAACACATTAAGGACAGATCCCATATGAGAAGTAAGTACACAGTGACTCCTGTTGTTGACTCAATAATTTGACACTCTTGTTTATGGCGTCAGTAATCTCCCTAGGCTCTAGTCATGAGTTGCCAATGCTATGGAAGCTTTTCGGATTCACCTACTTCAATCTTATTCCAACAGGGTCATAGTCAAAGTGGAAGTTCTCTCCTCCCTTCAGAGAAAGGTACCTCCTTCTTTGATGGCCCTGTTGTTTCCACTGGGATCTCACTTGCAGAGATCTTTCATTTAGGTCTTCTTCTTTTTTTTTTTTTCTTTCCCAGAGTGTCTTGGCTTTCCATGCCTAAAATACTCTCATAGGCTCTTCAGTCAGATCCAAATGCCTTAGGGCTGATTCTGAGGCCAGAGTGCTATTTAGGACATCTGCCATTCTGAGTCTGCTGTGTATCCCACTTCCCATGTTGGATCGTTCTCTCCCTTTTTTATTCTATCCGTTAGTATTAGCAGACACTAGTCTTGTTTGTGTGATCCCTTTGACTCTTAGACCTATCAGTGTGATCAGTTGTGAACTGAAATTGATCACTTGGACTAGTGAGATGGCATTGGTACATGCAATCTTGCTGGGATTTTATTGGAATCCCCTGGCACATTTCTAACTCCACCATTTGGGGCAAGTCCGATTGAGTATGTCCCAAATTGTACATCTCCTCCCTCTCTTATTCCCACTCATATTTAACAGGGTCTCTTGATCACCTGTGTACACAAGAGCCACTGGCTGAATGTTGCACTCTCCCCACCATTGCTGCCAGTACAGCCAGGAAGGTATTTTGTCCCAGCCAGTTGCTGTGCACCTGCACGAAGTCTTCCAAAGCTGCTGCCCACACCCAAAATGGCACCAGTCCTTTCTCAGCCAGGCAGCAGGCACTATTACAGGTAAGTTGGGGCTAGGTAAATGTGCTCCGTCTACTTCCACTGGGTCTGTGAGCAACCGCTAGCCTCCAGGGCTCCATCCAGACTCACGCCACACTTTCCCTCTGGCTATATCATCATGGTTTGCTGCAGTCCAGTCTCACCTCCATCTCCAAGCTGCCGCCAAGTCGCCTCCTGCCCTGGCTGTCAACTGCTGCAGTCATGTGTTGTGTTCGTGTTTATACTGTGTGTCTGTACCCTCCACGTAGGTTCACAGCATTCCTCTTCCTCTTATAGGATTTCCAGTGTGGTTTTCGTTCTCTGATTCTTCCCTGAGATGCACTTCCTACTCTTTGAAAGACAGAGTTACAGAGAAAGAGATAGAGAGAGAGCTATCTTTCATCTGTTGGTTCAGTTCCCAGATGGCTAAAATAGCCATGCCTAGGCCAGATCAAACCAGGAGCCTGGAATTCCATCTGAGTGTCCCACATAGGTGGCAAGGGTCTAGGCACTTGGGCCATGTTCCGCTACTTTCCCAGGCACATTAGCAGAGAGCTGGATTAGAAGTGAAGCAGCCAATACTCGAACCGGTACTCATGTGGAATGTTGGCATATGCCACAATGTCAGTTTCTATTCTTATTTTTTTAAAGATTTATTTATTTATTTGAAGGGCAGAGTAACAGAGGGAGAGGGAGGGGTTGATGGGTAGAGAGACTCTTCACCAGATGATTCACACTGCAAATGGCCACAACAGCCAAGTCAAGGCCAGGCCAAAGCCAGCAGTCAGGAGCTTCCTCTGGGTCTCCCATGTTGGGCCGTCTTCTGCTGCTTTCCAGCAGGGAGCTAGATCAGAAGCAGAGCAGCCAGGACCCAAACTGATAAGCCACAGGCAACAATTTAACCTACTACGCCATAACACCACCACCCCCACCCCCCACACACACCTTTTTTTTAAGGTTTATTTATTTATTTGAAAGGCAGTTTGAGAGAGGGGGGTTGACATATTCTTTTTTTTAAAATTTCTTACATATGTACTATTTAAACCCTCTCCTACTTTTTAAAAAAAGAAGGCTTGGTACTTCCTGTACTTTTTTTTTTCCTGTGGGGATTACTCTGAGCTGTTGTCTATATCCAGACCCTGTCTAACCATTTGGCTCATTATCTCTAACAAAAGGAATTAGATGAGTTGTAATAACTCTTCAGGGTGGTTAAAATGAACACATTCTTTTGAATTTGCCAGATGCTTTTCCCCCTAATTGTATATTGCCAACCCGCTAGGAACATCACATTTACAATTCTAAATACTCCTATGAATCACAAATACGAACAACACCCAACCTGATGATGGAGTGTTCCATTTCTGCCTTCTTTCCAGCTACAAAATTGTGTCCTTTTATTTGGTTTTGAGCCTGGCATCTATCTAATAAGGTACTTTGACCCAAGGTCCAAGATCTGAGCTAATGATCTCTGAGATGTTACCAAAGCCTTTTGTGGAATTCCAAGTATATAATGTCAGTCTTTCCATGGTCACTATGGAAACTATATCCTAGCAAAATTCAGTCACTTACTTCGGAATGACCTATCCCCTATAAAACTAAATTGGCCATTTCTAATAAACTTAAGCTTTTAAAATTGTTCCTTTACTAAATCATTTGTAATTGTTTTCATTAATATTCTTACCATGACCAATAGTACAATTAATATGAAACCAAGTCAGAATATCAAGACTGCTTTGGTGCAGTGGGAAAACTATTGGGCTTGAAACTGGGACACCCAGTATTGGAAAAGACTTTGTCATTTACCCCCTGACTCTATTCAACTTGTATTGCCTTTCTGAATCTGTTTCTTTCTCTGTAATATGGGGTAATAAACTAATTTTGCAAGATCTTCGTTAAGATTTGGTGAAATGGCACATAGTCAGTGTATAGAGTATTTTGTGTATAGAGTACACAAAATGTCTTCATCTTTGTAACTATGTCTCCCACTAACTTTTTGCTACTATGAATGATTCATGGTAAGACAGGCTACATTTAGATAAAAGAATCTATAGATACTGTCTTAAAACTCAATCTAAAAATAAAGAGTGAAATGCCTTTTACATAGGTTGTGCCAAATACAGATATCAATCCATGAGCAAACACCATTAGGGGCATGTCCATCGAAAGCATTTATAGAATTCTAGATTTGTAGTGGCCTCAGTAATAATCCCCATCTGTAAAGCATTTATAGAATTCTAGTAGATTTTGTAAAGTATTTACAGAATTCTAGAGGGTTTTCTGTTAATATTTGCTCTAGCATGACTGCAGATTAATCATTGCCAATTGAATATTAGGAAGAAGCTCCACAATGGCATTTTGAAACATGTTATTCACTTTTGAACTAGACTGAGGTATGAAATACCTGCTGGAACCAGTTTGAACTCATAAAATACATCTGTTGCAAATCTGTGGGAATGGAGACCTTATTTCTTGCTTTAATTTTTGACAGCAAGTGAAGTATACTTGTGACTCAATCTAGTTGTGAAATTACTATTCTGAAGTTTTTTCATATAACTGTTTTGCCTTGTAATCTTGGGAGAAGTCATTGCAAACATTATCAAGTCTACAGAAAAACCGATTTTACAGCCATTTAATGTCAGTAACAGCAGTTGAGAGATTCATTGTTCTCATTCAGAAATATTTCCATTTTGATCTGAACACAATAGATTGCAATAAACTTTATCACAGAAAAGTTATTGAACTGAAATATGGCAGAGCAAATTGGGATATTCATCTGGTTCTGACAAATATTCAAATAAATGATTAAATCTATGACAGTGAATTAATTTTACTGTCAACACTACTGGCTCAGTAATGCACCAGATTCAAATATATTCCACAAATGACTTGATGGTTAATATTACAATGAATAACCACAGATTTTTCAGCTTTTCATCTTCACAAGCTGTGCAAATTTTTGCAACTAGTTACAATATTAGTGTGTCCCTCACTTATTTTTACCACCATCAGTTGCAACTCATCTTATTAAATGATTCTACTTCAGCTGAAATATCCTCTCCTGTGGTTGTTCCATGCAGACTATTTATTCATAGACACGTGTTCCTCATTCATAATAATTCCTTCAATAAACAACTTGGTATTAAAAAAACCCTAAACTACAGTGTTTGAGCTGTTCCTCCCACCAAGCATTTTACAGAGCTAGTAAATTGCCACAATCCAGAGAGAAACTTTAATTTTCTTTTCTTCACTCTTACCAAGATTCCTTTTGGAACTCATATTGACTGATGGGTATGTGTAGATATGAAGACAAGTGATACAGTGAAAATTCCCAACTGGTGTCTCAATCCTAGATATTTCTAAATTAAATCTATTTGACTTTCTTATTTTCATTTGTTCAGTAAAAATATAGAAAAATCAAATGAACACTCAGAGCAGTCTATTATAGTTTAACCATAGTACAAATCTATCTAGGAGTGGGAGGGAACATCCTCTGGGGGAAAGCAGTTCTGTTCACTGGGTAATCCATCAACCATCCCCTCTGTAAATAGTCATCTCTTAAAACACATGTCATTGTTGATGTGATATTTTAAGATTCTGGTTAACATGTAACCTTACATTCTGAGTGTTTAAGATTCTGAGTAGTCAGGCTTATTCCTCTTCAATCACAAATTTATAGGATATCTCAATGACTTTGTTGCAAAAAATGAGATTTTTTTTTCCCCAGAAACTGCCATCAACCGCCATCTTAGTGTGGCTAATTTTTCTATGACCTCAGTTGATAAAACAGATTCATTTTACTCTTGAAACTTAGGTCAATCCATCTTCAGACATTCCAGTGTTCCGCCTGGTCTGAGTAAAGCTCAGACAGTTGTCTCTAGTCATTTGCAGTTTGTGAAACACAAGAACTGCTCTTCTCATAGATTCAGTCCTCCTCTTTATGGTAATTGACCTCCTGGTACTAGGTGGGTAAGGAAAGAAATTTAAGCCATCAACTCCTTAGATCCCTGATTAGGGGAGACAGTGGACCCTAGGACTCCTTCCCAAGGAATTCCTACAGGCAGTGGTGATCACATACCAGCCAGCCTCATTGACTCTCATCTGGAGGTTCCATGACAGTGCAGAGTGCACAGAGCTCTTTGAATCTCATGATCTCTTGAGGAGGAAGCAATAAGACACCTTCAGATCTTCAGTCAAGAGCCTAGGGGGCTGTTTAGAGGATTAGTGGTAGACTGATTCTGAAACTACAACTCAGCACCATTTAGCTAAGTTCTCAATTGGACTGAAGTGGTCAGCTCATCTTTCTTGTACAACAGAGAAACAAGAGAGCCCTCTTTGGAAGAAGGTTATATCATCTGGAACCTCTATAGTTTTTTCACACACAAAATCTGACATACTTTAAAATATTTACACTAGGAATGAATCTACGTATGTTCCTGTTATTGGAAGTAGCACATGAAGACTAAAAAGTAAAAGTTAAACAAATTAGAATATGAACAAATTAAATGAAAAGGCAGAGAATTTATTCTGGAAACCCAATAACTTTCTAATAATTCTTGATAATGAAGAATTCAACCCACTTATCCATAAGATGAATTGCACGTAACAAATCTTTAAAATATTCCATGGAAGTGCTAGTGAAATTAACATGAAAAATAGATAAATAATCATATTAACATAGTTAAGTCAATAATGGTAGAACAAGAAATCAAAAAGCTCAAAATGAAATAAAAATATTAACAACACAATTAATAAGCTTGGCTCATTGAATAAATATAGACCATTGCACCAAAGAATGACATAAAATATTTTACCAAAATTGAGTAGATGCTATGTCATTAAGTAAATCTCAAAATTAAAAAATTGAAATTATATAAAATATGCTTTCTGAACACAGTGGCATAAAAAAATCAGTAACAAAAACCTGATTAGAAAAACTTGAACTCCCAGGAAATTAAACAGTAGATTTACAAATAATCCGTGTGTCAAAGAAGATATTAAGTTCGAAATTAAATATTTTAACTGTATGATGACAGATATAAAATATTAAAACTTGGGACATTCAGTGAATGTATTTCTTAGAGGGTAATTTATGACTCTAAATGGAGAGGGATGAATAAAGTCTGGAAACCAATAATTTAAACTTACAGCTCAAAAAATGAGTACAGTCCATCAAATCAAACTTAAACAGAATAAAATAAATAATAAATATGGGAAAAATCAATGGAATTTAAAAACCACAAATAAACAATAGAGAAAAACCATGAAACATTTTTTACAAAGATTAATGAAATTAATGTCTCTAGTAAAAATGAGTAACAAAATAAATGATCAAAATAGGATTAAAAAGAAGAACATCACTACGGATCCTATAGAAATCAAATTACAATAAGAGGGGCTGGTGCTGTGGCTCAGTGGGTTAATCCTCCACCTGTGGCACTGGCATCCCATATGGACACTGGTTCTAGTCTCTGCTGCTCCTCTTCCGATCCAGCTCTCTCTCTTATGGCCCAGGAAAGCAGTAAAAGATGGCCCACATAGGAAACCTGGAAGAAGCTCCTGGCTTTGTATTGGTGCAGCCCTAGCCATTGCAGCCATTTAGGGAGTAAACTAGTGGATGGAAGACCTTTCTCTCTGTATCTCCCTCTCACTGTAACTCTCCCTCTCAAATAAATAAATAAAAATTTTTTAAAAATTACAATAACAGCACATTATGAAAAACTGGACACCAATGCATTTAGTAATCTGGAAAAAAATGTGCAAATTACACAAAACTTTTTACTACAACTATCAAAAGAAATAAACTGAACAGTCCAAATGTTAGTTATTTTAAAACAAAATTCACTCTTAAGATTACTTCCTCATAAACACAAATGCAAAATATTTTAACAAAATATAAGAAATTTAAATAATTTATAAAAAGGTTAATTGAACATAACCAATAGATTTTTATAGGTATCAGAGGTTAATTTAATGTTAGAAAAATAATGTAATTCACTGTATTAACAGAAAAAAGGAAGGAAAAGAAAATATTGTCAATGGAATAAGAGAAAACATCTGACAATATTCATTATCAATTAATGATGGAAATTCATGGAAATCTAGAAATGGTAACTTCTTTATTTAGTAAAGAATATCTAAAAAATTTTGTATGATATATCAAAATCAGTCATCAAATTCTGAAAATATCTTCTTTGGATTCAGGAGAGTGTATGGTATAAAACACAAAGCAGGCAGAGCTAAACTTTTTGTTTTTAAGATTTCTTTTAATTTATTTATTTGAGAGATAGAGTTACAGACAGAGAGGGAGAGACAGACAGAAAGGTTTTCCACCCGCTGGTTCATTCCACAAATGGTCACAGTGGCTGGAGCTGAGCCAATCCAAAGTCAGGATCCAGGAGTTTCTTCTAGGTCTCCCATGCAGGTGTAGGGGTCCAAGCACGTGGGCCATCTTCTACTGCTTTTCCAGGCAGCAGAGAGCTAGATGGGAAGAGAAGCAGCTGGGACTTGAACCATTGCCCATATGGCATGCCAGCACTGCAGATGGAGGCTTAGCCCGCTACAGCACAGTGACGGTCCCCAAAGTAACCTTGTATGTAAAAAATCTGGTATAGTGATTACCCTCTATATAAAGGAAGCAATAGGGGCACTTTGGGGATGCTGGAAATTTTCTTGATTTGGTGTGGCTACATGATCTAATTCATATTCCAAAAATTCATTGATGTGTTCACTATAATATATGTAATTTTCTTCATGTTTCTCTCAACAGAAAGCTGAGAACCTTTATATTCTGTTAGTTACTTTGTGATATGTATGTCAAGATTGCTGTAAACTGTAGTTGCCCTATTATGCTGTAGAACATCAGAATTCTTCCTTTGTAGTTGTTCAGGTGCCTCAAACATATAGAAATTACCCAAGTTTGAGGTAGTAAAAATACTTACCTTGATTTGATCATTAGACATTATACACATACATTAAGTTATCATCTTATACCCCTTAAATATGTACAAATATTATGTATCAAACAACATAAAACAAACCATAATAAGTTAATTCAAAACCATTGTGATGGGTGTTTAAAAACTCAACTGCTATTTCATATAACTGGCATTTTCTCATGAAATACTAGGTTCAATTCTTCAGTGGTCAGGCAGTTGTTTCCCAGCATTTGGACACAGCCTTAGCAAGGGCTGAATGATGGACATGTGGCAGCCTATTTAGAGAATTTGAGCTCCCCAGACAATGCCCAGAAACCAGACAGACCTTTCATCAGTCTCCCCATAGCAAAGTGAGCTTTTCCAACACCCTTTCCAGGCCTCAGATAATGCAATTCTATTTTAGGAAACTTTCCTAGTGTGTGTAGCTGCCCAGCAACTGTCCGAAGGAAAGCTGCTAAGCCACGGTAGACCTATTTATTTATTTGCACTGTCCCTGATGTGATGGAAGGCGAGGTGAAAAGGAAAAATCCCTTAGGACTCAAACCACACATTGGACAGTGGCAGGAGTAAAAGTGAACAGTAAGCACCTTGCCAGGTGCGTGGATCAAGAAGCATAAACCCAGGAACTTATTCATCAAGAGTGATAGTCATATGCCTGGGATGACAGCCTGTGAAACCATTATCCAAACAATATTCTACAAAGATATTATACATTTGATTTCTAGACCTAGAAAAGAGCTCTTCTTCAAATTTCATTGTATGTTAGCATCAGTTCATTTCCCACAGCTTCACATATGGTCATTGAGCCAGGTGGAATGGTGGCACATTTGCTAAGAATTTTGTTGACTCCTATTTTCTTAGATCAGAAATCCACCCAACCAGGTTTAGCAAAAGAAAACTACCTTTTACCCTTTTCCTAACAGGCAACATAGTTTTGATAAGTTAACATCTCATTTTCTCAAGAAGATCTTTTGGACTTATTCTAACTCACAGTCCCTACTTCCTTCTCTGAACTTTAGAAGTATGAACAGCTTACAAACTAACTGATTTTACACACACACACACACACACACATGCATACACATACACACAGACATAAATTTGATATGCAAATTTTCAGTGACACAGTCCTTTGGAGTACTGTTCTGTCCTAACAGACTCTCCCTGCATTTTTAACAGAGAATGGTTTCCCTCTTGCTCTAACCTACTTACTGTGATGTCCAGGCTACTGCCTGACTTTCTAATATTCTTGCTTGTTCACTCCTCCCTTTTCTCATTATTCTTTAACCACACTGGCTTTTTTTCTTTTCTCAAGTATGCTAAAGAAGTTCTGGTCTCAACTCTTTGTGCTTGCTCTTCCCTCCACTTAGCGTGCTATTCCCTAAGATCTTCACTTTAGGAGCTCCTTCTCTGTATTCAGGTGTTAGCTTGAACATCATCACCTCAGAAAGACCTTTGACCACTCAATCTGTCAAGAGTCATTTTCAGACTTTTTGTTTATTGAATTCACCTATTCTCTCTGTGAACGTCTATCTCCCACTTCAGTGCAAGCTCCACAAATGAAGGGATCTTAGCAGGCAGTTGTGTCAGTCTCTAGTTTACTAATGCTAACATGGGATTAGACAAGCAAAAATTTATTTAAAAAACATTTGAGAAGAATAAAGGGGAGAGTAAGAGGAAGCTGGATGAGCTTCAGACTGTGTGATGTGTCTTATATTTGTGAAAAAGCGGGAAGGAAGGAGAAAAGGTAGGAAGAGTCTCAGACTACAGTGAAGTTATGGGCAAGCCTTGGCCAGGCTGATGGGGAGAACCTGTACAAAGTTTTGCCATTAAAGAAGTCCTGTGTTGGGCAGGGATGGCCTGGCTTTAAGACCGTGTTCAGAAAGAATAGAATGATCCTTGGAAAACTGTGTCCCTAATTACTCCAAAAGGGCTGCATCTGGGGTTACAGTCCATGAGGTTACCTGTGCAGATTCTTTTGAATGGGGATCTGGATGGTGAACTTCCCTGGCTTTCCCTGAATTCCTAGATATTTGTTGAAAGAAAAAACAAGTGAATAACTGCATGAGTGGGTCTCTGAACTCCATGCTAGAGATACCTGCATTGACTAACAAGACAAATACTTTTTTGGGCTCTTCTACTGGTTTGATGAAGAAGACTGCATGGCTGGCTCTTCCTGGTCATTACTGTTATGACAGAGCCATGTGCTGGTCATGTTGAAAGTCAGGGACCACTCCGTGCTTCACTTCTCACAATTAAGACTTTAATTGATCCATAAATTAGTGTTATTATTGTTGATATTTTCTCTAGCCAGAGAATAATCTGGGAAGACTGAATTATGCAAATGCTTTATCCTTTCCATCTTCTCCTGTAGTTCTTAACACAGTGCTAGGAACATTGCAATTCTAAAGTAACTATCCTGATCTCAAAGGCCTACCAGAGCCAAGCATATCATGGAGATGAGTGAAGCAGGCTTGGTAGGAAGTGATTAGGATGGTGATGAACTGGAGTGTGCTTGTCCCACCTAGATGGGACAACTGCTGTGTAACTGCAAGAGGTAGAAATGCAGTCTCTATGCTCCCAAATCAACCAATGCAAGGAATCTGAAATTTTAAGGGAAATCTCTTGATTTTTTTAAACGTTGAGAACTAATTAAAATTTTTAAGCAATCTGCAGATCAACAGTAGGATGGCCAAGCAAAACATGCCTGTGGGATGATTTAGCCACCAATTTATAGTCTCCATTCTAGACCAGTTGATGGACACCATTCTAGATTTTTAAAACTCAGAGTTTTGTTAAAAGTTTTGTAACAGTTTTTCTTGGAAGTCTGCTCAGAACCAGCTGATGACTGGCAATTTATGTCACTCCTCAGTATCCTGGACCCAGAGAGCATGGAAGGGAATAGGCCAATAAAGTCTGAATCACAAAGGTCATGGGATTCATGAGACTTGGGTAAAAGCCTCCATGAAATTCAAGGTGACTGAGTGCACTTTGCCAGTGTGTGAGTGGGTCTGCCAGCAAGGACAAGACTAGAGATAAACAGATGGATCTTTCTCTCTGGCCAGGGGGAGCACACGGTAACCTGAGGCGTGAAGGTATAAAGTCCAAGGCAGTTTCATGCTCAGCAAATATTATGCCCTAGAGCAGAAAACTCAAATTTATTTACCTGTTTTTCATTTTTGTTAGTGAGCTACATGATTAGACATCGAAAGGAATAAAATAAGAATAAAAGTGAAAAAGCTCAGTAGCCACTCAAAACTATGGAAAATGTAAAACAATACAGTTGTCCGAGTCCCAGGAACCTCTGCCAGGATACCAAGCTCTAGGTACTCCTTATAGAAAATGTGTAGTGTTTGCATATAGCCTACACACCTGTCTAATTTAAATCAACTTAGATTATTTCTAATGCCTAATGCAATGAAAATGCTATGCGTTGTTTTAAACATCATATTATTTTTATGGTTGGATTAATTTTTAATTTTTTGGAATATTTTCCATTTGTGGCTGCTTAAATTCATAGATCCAGTCCTCACAGATATAGAGTCAATTGCAACACTAATCATAGTTATTTTTAAACTATAGCAAATAGCAATACTTCTAATCACTTTTATTCCTGCCTGTATAGAACATATACTCAGTGATAACTTTGATCAACTTTGAGCATGTCGATGAAAATGTTGATGTTTAGCGTAATGAGCCATTTCCAGCATTCAATTAGTACCCATATCCTGATTCAGACTCCAGGTTTGGAGCATTAATGCTTACATTTTGCTTGGATTTCAGAAGCATGAAGAATCACAATACATTTTGACACGGGAATTCAGTCATTTTCTGGAACTTGACACACAGTAGGAATATCAATTCATAGATTCATATATTTATCAACCAAATTATTTTTTGGGAATGACTTTACTTCTAGATCTTTAAGAGGCTATTAAATTGTGTTGTTCTCATAGCAAATCTTCATTCATTCTTTGAATTTGTGATTCTAACTCAACAAAGCCAACAATTTGTTTCTGCAAGTGCCACTATGTTTCATTAACTGTTCTAGAATCCTTCAGTTTTATATCACATAATGATTGCCTTCTTCAACATGCATCTGTCCAGCTTTAATATAGAGAGCTATACTTCTTAATGCTCCAGTGATGCTCTGTGCTTTTCTTTCTTCTATGAATGTTTTGAGTTCAGTGTGTGGCTATGGTTAGCAAATGATTTGTCCCCCCAAAGTATCTGTGCCAGAGGCTTGGTTCCCAATGTAACAGTATTGAGAGGTGGTGGAATTTTTGAAAGGTGGGGCCTAGAGGGAGGTGATTAGGTCATTATGGGCACAACCCTTGGAAAGGATTAATGCTGGTCTCCCAGAGTGGGTTGGGACTTACGGGAGTGGATTAGTTCCCAGGAGAGTGTGAGAATTTGTGAGAATGTGTTGTCACAAAAGAGCAAGACTGACCCCTCCTCAGTTTCTTGTTTCTTCTCTTTGTATGCTCTCTCGCTCGCTCACTCGCACGCTCTCACACACACACACACCACACACACTCCAGGACTATGATGCTATCTGCCTTGGGGAACTCACCAAAAGCCAATGTCAGTGCCAGGCTCTCAGACCTGTAGAAGTGTGATCTTAAAATCTTTTCTTTATAAAGTATCCACATTTAGGTATTTTGCCATAGCAACACAGAATGGACTAAATCCAGTGTATTTCTTTGTTTTGTTACGACCATAAGAAAGCACCATCATATGAACAATAAACACTCCCACAAGTTGGGTTTCTCAGTCCTTCCATTCCCGGAAATCCTTGAAGAAGCAGCTCAGTAAATTTCTGCAATTTCCCCATCTGACAGCATAAAAATAAATGGCATCTGCCCACAGTGTTTTAACTGCTTCCAAATATCTAATAAACTGGCAATGGCTATGGGGACTGGCTTGAAGAACAGTCACAATTGGAATAATTTGCTGCATCACATCACACAGCATAGTGCCCACAGAGGTCACAGTCCCGGCCTCGGCAGGATGAGGCAATGGCAGTCTGGCATGCCAGCCCGTGCCACTGACTGCCATCAGCTGTCAAAGCCACCTTTTCCTCCTTTTCACCACAGGTGCCCCACTGGCAAGTGAACTCATTCTTTCCATGTTTAGACCAATGTTCTCAAGTTTATTACTGGCATGAATTGGGACTTTCTAACTCATGTATGTCAGATAATTACACGTGTATATATAGATACATGCTTGTGTGAGAAGCTATACCCAAGCCCTTGAAAACCGTTTATAGCTCCCTACAAAACAGCCCAGTCCTGGAGGCTGCTCCGCAACCCAAACCTCTGGGTTGTCTTTATTCTTTCATTCATTCAAACCGTATTTTGTGAAAACCTGCCATGTCCAGACGCCTAAATTTACTTGTTTTACTTTTAATTGTTAACCCCAATCTCATTCCTGTAACAACATAAATAAGACAGAGGGCGTTATTTTCAAATGGTCTTGGCAGAAACTGATGTAGCAATTAGCTTCTCTAGAAGAACCCCTCCCCCTACTATTTCATCAGTTTACTAACTTCTGTACACTGGAGATGAGAAGGCTGCCAAATGTAGCTTTCTTTTTGGAAAAAAAAATAGTAAATCTTAGCTTAAAATCCTCCACATAATCATACTCTGCTTCACTTGGCAAAACTCTTAAGTCCTTTGATTGAGACATCAATTGTGCTTTTAAAAAAAAACTGTCAAATAGTAAATCTTGCCCATTTCTAAATCCTTCTTGAAATATTGTATTACTGTAAATGTTCTACCATAGGTAGTATTTTTATAATCCTTTACCGAAATGCATTGTGAGCTGCCTGCATTTAGCTATCTGCAAACTACCTTTTAGGTCACATCTGCTTACTGCTAAATGGCTTGCCTTTGCTGTAACTTTGTGTTAGACATGACAAGTTATTATCGTGCTTGCTATTTGCTGCCATTTGCAATTGTCATCTTATAAGACATGCTGTCTCTGTAGACCACTTTCGAGCATTTGCATGACATGAAGAGAAATGACAGCAAAATAAAAATTGCTCAAATGCTATGCCTGGTTGCGGTTTTAAGTGAAACATCTGGGCTCATTCAAATCACCCTTCCTTCTGATGTGACTTTCTTTGCCATGACTCACAAAGGCAGAAGGTTTGGTCAGGTGGCTTTTCCCAGGTGTTACTGGGAAAAGAGGGACTCCTTCCTCCAGGGACTGTGTGTCTGGCTCCGCCAGGCTCTTGGTCAGAAATAGATGCTTTATGTTATTTTCTGCAACTTGTCCTTGCCTGCTAATAGCTCTGATGAGAAAAGTCTCTGGAATTTCCATTGACAGGTAGTTCAGAGGAGGATTATCAGGGACTGGGGCATGGTAGAGAGAAGTAGGAAAGCCTGGGGAAGAACTGGCTGCCACTGCTCAAGCTGTGTAAAACATTCCTCTCTGTTTTTAAAAATAATTAATGATATTGTACCAATGTTGTTTGCTTACTCTTCTTAAATTTTGTAATTGTTTATTTTAAAGTCAAAGTCACAGAGAAAGGAAGAGAGAAAGAGAGAGAGATCTTCCATCCACTGGTTCACTCCCTAGATGGCCAGAAAGGCCAGGGCTGTGCCAAGCCAAAGCCAGGAGACAGGAGCTTCTTTCAGGTCTCTCACATGGGTAGCCAGGGCCCAAACACTTGGGCTATCTTCTGCTGCTTTTCCCAGACCATTAGCAAAGAGCTGGATCAGAAGTGGGACAGCCAGGGCTAGAGCTGGCACCCATATGGGATGCCCACCTCGCAGGCAGCAGGTTTACCCACTATGCCACAGCACTGGCCCCTGTACTATTTTTGATAAAGGTGTCATAGTGGTGTTAAATGTTTGTATTAGGGAAGCCAGTGAAGGGCATAGGGGAATTCTCTGTACTACTTTTGCAACTCTTCTGTAAATTTAAGTCTATTTCTAAATATATTTTGAAGGGGAGAAAGTAATCACTAGGAAAAGACTGCAAATCTGAACCTTCTCAACAGCTTTTGGTTAATCTGGTCATAGATCTCCATCTTTACATAGATGGTTTGCTTGCTGGAATCATCTACTTTGTTGATGGCTATGATTAGAAAAAGACCATTCCCACAAAATAAAAGTCAAATACTACTGGAGCAGAAGTATTTCAGTTCCCAAATCTGTGGCCCAGATGGAAGTAAGATCAACCCTAAGTTTCTCCTTAATATATGTCCATCGAGCATTATACAAACTGTAGATTAATAAGCCTTTGTTTCCCCGCAAAAACCAGATAGTGTTGGAAAACAGTCATACAAGTAGCTATTTTGTTGGGTTGGATTTCTATAATTGGAGGGTGGACAGAGGACAGGGTCTGGATGCTCTCTGCCTTCCTCAGTGTGTCATCCTCTTCTTTGCAGTATCTTTCCAGGAACTTGCAAACAGAAGACTTGTCAGTTTGTTGGTAATTCAGGAAGGATGAGGCAGGGAACACAGCTCCTCTTCTGGATTCTGGGGGATATAATACTCTCCCCATCATCCTTAGGGCAGTCACACTCTATTGGAGGCAGCACTGCCAGGAGGCTCTTTTGTGTAAAACAGACAACCTCATCTTATGAGTCCAACACCCTTTGGGGAATGTCATCAGAGAAGGTAGCACTGGGGACTTGGATGAAACCCTGAAACCCTGCCTGGGTGCTTAGGCATTGCCTAAGGAAATTTCACTTCAACAGAATGATTGCTCCTTCTTCAGGTCTCTCAGGGATCGCTTTTCTGGAGATGCTTTCTTTGCCACCCAAAGTTAAACTAGATCACCTTCCTTCACCATTCCTAACCATGTCACCTAGTTGTTTCCTAGAGTAGTTAAGAGACAGATTTTCTTGTTCATTCATTATTGTTTTCATTTATTATTTTCCCCAATAGGAAGTAAGCTGCATGCTAAAAGGGATGCTGTCTGTTTCATTCACCTACTCATCTCCAGGACTGGGCTGGCTACAAAATTTGTAGGTCCATTTTAAATACACCCTTTGGTGACACGATATGGTACTACATAGCAAGGGCCATAAAAATGACTGTTTCCTTTGCTCGATAAATTCTGCTCCCATATTTTTAACCTGAAGAATGATGCATAAAAAAGCAAATGCATGGATGTGTTTATGTCTGTATTATTTATACTAGTGAAAAGTTGGAAAAAAATTACATGTCAGAGAATAAAGTGGGCTAATAAAGTAGGGAAGTGTTACACTGCCATTAAAGTAATTTTTTGGAAGACTTTAGACACATGGATGTATCTAAGATATGGTAAGTAAAATAAGCGCATTACAAAATAGTATACACACTATGATTGTGACTTTGTAAAGTATGCATGTGGAAGGTGATATGCCAAACAAATCTATGTGGTAGTATAGAGGGGCTATGGAATGATGTTTAATTTATTTAATTTTCTTTAATATTTCTTTGTACTTTCAATAAAATAAATTACTATGTAAAAAAAATTTTGTAGGTCCTGATGGAAACTGAAAATATGGAGTGCTTTGTTCAAAAAGCTTCTTTTTTTTAAAGATTTACTTATTTATTTGAAAGTCAGAGTTACACAGAGATAAGAAGAGGCAGAGAGAGAGAAAGAGAGAGAGGTCTTCCATCCACTGGTTCACTCCTCAAATGGCCACAACGGCCAGAGCTGTGCCAATCTGAAGCCAGGAGATGGGAGCTTCTTCCAGGTCTCCCACATGGATGAAGGGGCCCAAGGACTTGAACCATCTTCTACTACTTTCCCAGGCCTTTGCAGAGAGCTGGATCGGAAATGGATCAGTTGGGTCTCGAACTGGTGCTCATATGGGATGCCGGCACTGCAGGCAGCGGCTTAACCTACTAAGCCACAGCGCTGGCCCCCCAAAAAGCCTCTTAAGTCACTAAAGTTCAAATTTTTTCATTTCTTGAATGCTCTCTAAACCTACCCTTTGGTTTTATATTTTCTATTTAATGGCATTCTAAGTAAAAAGTATAAATTTTGAAGTATTAACTTGAAGTTTATGATTTCATCTTTATGTTGCACTATGCCAATTTTAAATACAAATATAAGAGCATTTAACATACCAAATCACCAAAATTTTACAACTCATGTTTCTTTCTTTATTTTTTAAAGATTTATTTTATTTATTTGAAAGTTACAGGGAGAGCTAGAGACAGAGAGAGAGGTCTTCCATCCGCTGGTTCACTCCCCAGATGGCTGCAACGGCCGGAGCTGAGCTGATCCGAAGCCAGGAGCCAGGAGCTTCTTCTAGGTCTCCCATGCAGGTGCAGGAGCCCAAGGACTTGGTCCATCTTCTACTGCCTTCCCAGGCCACAGCAGAGAGCTGGATCGGAAGTGGAGCAGCCGGGACTAGAACCAGCACCCATATGGGATGCTGGCGCTTCAGGCCAGGGCTTCAACCCGCTGTGCCACAGTGCCGGCCCCACAACTAATGTTTCATAGCTCATACATGGATATGACTTTCATTTTTTGCCAGAACAATGAAAATGTGCATGAAACTAACTTAACAGTTTTTATTTCACTTCCTGATACACTCTACCAACACAATCTTCAGCCTACTGATGAGTAAGGAAGAGCTGATTGATAAAGGGACTGTTGTTATCTCCTTCTATGTCATTATTTTTGACTTTAAGTAGTTGGCTAATTCAGGGAAGAAATATGAACAAGAATGGATGGTAAAGAGTTCCTTGGTCTTTGTTCTGGTTTCAACTAAGCAATGTGGCCTATAAGATGCCAGCTTCTTGCTCAGAAGTAGTTTTACTATGATTGCCTTGCCTTGGTCTTTTGTCTAATTGAATGCTTATGTCTTGTGGGCTGCCAAATTCTGTTCTTACAGGGTATTATCATAAATGCTATATGTAAATGGGTAAGCAGTAGACATGTCCATGTTCATATCCCGTCATCCTATTGGACTTTCTTACAAAATGCATGTTCACTGAAATTATTTAGAATTGTAAGATGGTGATAGTTGTTCATCAAAGCAAAAGTGGGACCATTTGGTTGCATATCCAAGAAGCAAGTCCTGGTCTGTGTTCTATAACAATGGAGCTAACAAAAAGCCCACACAGAGTACAATTATTCCTACTGAATTACTGAAAGAACAAATAGTTCAGAGCTATCTATCAATGAACTGGAATAAATAAATAAGTGGCTTCTTGGACCAGAAAGAGAAAGGTAGAGAGGTCATTGTAGCCTCATTTCCTGATAGTGTTTCTGTTCATGGGCCTACTTGTACCTCTTGTCCTTGAGTTAAAAGAAATAGTTCTACCTCCTTATAATAAATCTCCTCTAATTTATCTGATTCAGAAAGAATTAGGATTTTGTAGTTGTCTGACAAGTTCATTATGTGCCCTGGCCCACCCACAACCCTGTCTGGATACATCCAGCTGTGCAGTCCTCTGAACAAGCCATTATTTTCTCAGCATCATGACTTTGCTCATCAGAGAATAGCTATGTTCTCTCTTTTCTAACAGATCAATTAATATGATTTTCTCAGCCCCATGCATTTACTCATCAAAGAATACCATGCTTTGTCTCTTCTAATAGGTCAATGCCTATTCCTTCTTCAAGAGGAGGTTTTTATGGCAAATTCTCCAGTTCTCACTTGAGATAGTCACCCATGTTATTGTATTGAGAATGGTTGTTAACATTTCTGTCCCTGGGTCCCCTGGTGGAGGGCAGAGTGAAACCATGGTCTCATTTGTATTTCTATTGCCTGGACCCTCTGGGTGCTTGATCCTTAGCAAATGCTCCCTGCCTGTTGCCTGAAAAGTTTGTAGTTGGCTGACCAAATTTGCATATGTGGTTAGGCTGGGAAATGATGTGTTAGAATCATTTTCAGAATGCCTCAGTTACAAGTCAGTCAGCTCTATCCAGTCCTTATTCATCTGGTTCAAAGGTGGTTTTTCATTGAAAGTTCTTTAGATGATTGCAGGGATTACTCAAGGCAGCAGTAGTAAAAAGGAGTATAGACAAGAAAGAGACATATTGAAATGGACTTGGAATTATGCCATTCAAGAGATTGTCTGGAATCAGCTGCGCCTAGAGTACTTTAGGAACAAGTTATTTATGAAGTTGTAGACCACAGATTACTGGCTGTGACACCCACATTCATTCTTGAAAAATATGAGTCAGTTCTAAGTCCTGTACATACACAGGAGCAGGAATCTGAGGGAGAAGAATATCCATCTCAAGCAGATGCTTCCAGAAAGATACCCAGACAGTCTCCTAAGCACCCTGGCCTCCGTTCCCTTGGAAAACAGTCCAATTTGTTAAATATTTCCACTGTACATGGTGGCCTACCTCCCTTGGCATGATGTTTTGGAGAGGCCTCTCCTAGTGGGATGTTGTTTATCAGTTATTTCTTATCCCAAGTGAAAATTGCTATTTAAAACAATTTGCTTTCATCCATGGCAAATACTTGTTAAAATAATATGTGAAATACAAGTCTCATAATTCTACAAAAAAAACTGAATTCTTAAACTTACATGTTGTGAGTGCTCAATGAATGAATTTCATTCAAGACTTTTTCCTTGTTGTTGAGAGTTGATCTTGAGGAATAGGATATTAGATTATGTGAAGACTGAGAAGGCTCAAGTGGAAAAGGCAAAAAAATACATTTCTGTAGGAGACAGAAACAACCTCTGGAACTTCTATCTTTACTTCCTTCACCATATTGCACACATGAAGTGATTCCTTCCTGAATGGCCAGATAAGCAGGTGAGACTGGTTTTCATTAAAATGATGGGTGAAAGAGCCTCTGCTATTTTTGAAGATCTAAAAACTATAATGGCCAGATAAAGGAGGAAGAGGAAAGGATATCCTTTCCCACTTAGGCAATATAACATGAGGAGATGGGACCAGTCCTGCACTATGGTACAGGTTGAGTATAAAAATTATCCGAATTGTGAGCCAGTCTGATCTCTGGATCGTCTTTCATAAGCCCTTGGCCTATAGCATATAGCTCTCTACATCCTACAACTCCCTCTCAAACTGAATGAATGCAGGTCAAATAATGGTTAAACTTTCTACTGTTCCCCTAAAGTCTGAGCGCTGTCTGGATACAGATGTATGTAACCCCAGCAGTCATGTGAAACCCTCCATCCAAATAACTCCTGAATGCTGAGACATACCTATGCTAAGAGAATGGCCAAGCTTCATGATGCCTTCAGAACACGCAATAACTTTATATTTTTTTCAAAGGTAAGGGGGGGAAAGAGGAAAGACTTGGCAGAAAGACAAGCTTGCTTTTCAGAAGGGAAACTCTTTTCCCAGGGTGCACTGTGCAGACAAAACTTACTACATCCCTTCTGAAAATGTGTCTGGAGCAGTCTTCCAAGATGATTAATAGAGCAAATATTTCCCACAAGAGTATGACCTTTGAGAACACAAGCAAACGATAGGCACAAATGGCTGAGGATGGGTGGGGACCAGCAGGCTCACAGGAGAGCCATGTCCACACCCTCACCTCTCATCAAGACCCAAACACACTAGATAGTCCCTTGGGGAAAACCCCCTGGGACCACAATACCTCTGAAAGAAGCTATTTGTTTTATTATAAAGATGTTTACTTGGGATGATTTTCTTTCAAGGGATGCACCCACCAGTTGGTGTATTATAAGTGCAGAGATTGTGAGGGTGAAAGTAGCTACTCAGAAGATTTTTATACTGCATGCATGGCTCAGAGTTATGGGACACAAATTCTTCAATGTCACATGTGTGTTTCACTAAAGAAAGGAGGAAAGGAAGTTAGATATTGTGGGAAAAGAAAACCAGTGTTTTTCAGGATGTATTTTAAAATCTTTATAACAACTTTATAAGACAATACTCATGTTCCCATTTTACAGACAGGCAAACTGAACTTGAAGAGCTTGGTACAGTCATTCAGATAGAAAATGAGTGCAGTGTGGGGATTCAGGGCCAGTTAGGTCTAGTTTGAAACCTCATTCTTGTTACATTACCCCAAGCTACCTATAGCTGCAGGAGGTAGGGTTAGGTACATAAGTCTTGGTGGAAATTCACCTGCTTAAAAAAGAAAGTACAGGGGCTGGCCCTGTGGTACAGCAGGTTAAAGCCCTGGTCTCACTGCCAGCACCTGATATGGTGTTGGTTCGAGTCCCGGCTGCTCCACTTCCAATCCAGCTCTCTGCTGTGGCCTGGGAAAGCAGTAGAAGATGGCCCAAGTGCTTGGGCCCCTGCACCCATGTGGGAGACCCAGAGGAAGCTCCTGGCTCTGGATTGGCACAGCTCTGGCCATTGAGGCCATTAGGGGAGTGAACCAACAGATAGAAGCTCTCTCACTCTCTCTCTCTCTCCCTTGCTTCTCTCTAGCTCTGTCTTTCAAATAAATCAATCTTTTTTAAAAAAAAGCAAGCACATTTCTGGGTTCATCAGCATGCATGCTGAGGGTCTCCCCTGACTTAGTAAAGTTTAAGAAATTATTAGAGTTATTGTCCTGAATGGAGAAGCACTTACCTCGTATCCTGCTTCTGCTCTTATCCTTTGTTTTTACATTAATTTTTACTTATACTTATTTGCTGACTTAAAAATATCATTGAATAACTATGTCATGTACTATGCTAGGCAGGGGTTGTCTTAGCCTGGTCCTCTAAAACTGAGCCTAAGAACTGGATGCAGGTGGTTTATTTGATAAGTGATTTAGAAAGAACAAGTGAAAGATCAGGGGAAGTGAATGGAGGAAGGAAAATAAGTACAAGGATACACTCCAGAGCTGGCCACCAGTGTGGGGGACTAGTTCTTAGTCTGGCTGGCACCTTTAGAGGGATATATAAAAGGGATCAGAGGGATAAACATTGATCTACTGGCTCCTGGTCTCCTTTGTCCACAGAACACAACAATTACAGTTTTGGGTTGCACATGCAAGAATGTCCAGCAACCTTTAGCAGGTACCCCACCCAGGGAAGTAAAGGAAGTCTGTGAACAGGAAGCAGAGCTATGTGGTGCAATCCTGATGTGTTCACTATCAATAAACAGCAGGTGGAAGACTTGTGGTATTCTCTGCTGGAGCCATGAGCTGAGGCAAAGAGG